AAATTGCAATCCCTTTTTTTTTTGCCTTTTTTTGATGAAAATCACATAAAAAGGGAAGTAGATGGAAAAAGAAACTGTATTAATACTATCATTATGAAACCAATGACTAAAACAAGTCAACATAATGATATAGCACCTATGATGTACCATGGTGGGTTCCCTGTGCTAAAAAAATACCAATTCCTTTTTTTTTACAATTATTTTGATGAAAATCACATGAAGGACATGGAAATAAAAAAGAAATTGTATTATTATTGAAACTAATGCAAAAAACATGCCAACTAAATGGAAAATCCAAGGAAGATGTTTTCGGACGCGTACTCAGTCCAAAATAGCCTTTCAAGGTGGCGGCTGTGTCTTTTCATGGACTGTAAGTATCTACTAGAATAAATTGCCGTTTTTTTGGGGAAATTGTGTACAATTTGAATCACGACAGGTTTAAGTGAATTTTAAGTTCTTCTTGGTGATAAATTTGTTATCGAAAGCCACATTTTCTCTTCACATTTTGTGCCGATTATGAATGACTATACTGCGTTTATTTTCGTACTGGTTAAAATTAATAATAGTAAAAACAGCTTCTTTCTATAGCGCTCATATCCTGAGAACATGGTGCTTTACAATGTTAAAGAGGAAAAAAAATTATATCTCGAGCATGAAATAACATATATTAAAATCTATTTGCAATTCACAAAGAACAAGAGAAGGAAACAACCTAAGAATTCATCTGTTTTAAAATTATTTTGGCTTTAAAGTTTATATATAATGATAATAAGTCATGCAAAAAACTAAATATTCATTCTATAAGTATAGGTATATGATCTGCAGATACTAAAGACGTTTTACAAAAGTGTTGACTTACTCTCTAAAAATTGGGTAAAAAGGTATGTTCTCAGTCCTTTCTTTCAACTGGCTAAAGATGGTGACTTGCGCAAATCTAGCTAATGGTAGTGAGTTCCACAGTTTAGGGGGCACACTGAAAAGTCTTTTTCCCCGTGAGTTTTCGAGGTTGTTCTAAGACCTGCTGAGATGCGGACCACAAGTTCCTGGAAGGCCTTCGATAACTGTCCGCTAGGTAGCTATGTGGAAGGTTATTAAGTGATTTGAAAACTGACAAAATAAACAACATGATAACTAACAGGAAGCCAGTGAAAGTCAAATAAATGATGTGTTCGAAAAGTTTTCGAGTCCGAGTAACGATCCTGGGGGCAGTGTTCTGAACATATTATTAAAAGTTCCTTCAAGTGCATTTTCCTACAACCATAGAGCAAGGAATTGCAATTAATAGTCTGTTTTAGATGTAATAACAGCATGCACTGCAATTTCGCAAGACTCCCGTGTGAGACACTTTCTTATCTCTGATAAGTTCCTGAGTTGGTGAAACGATGTTGTGCAAAAAAATGCTGAGACGTGTGCGTCAAACAGCACGTTGTCATCAAATACTACTCCCAGGCTTTGTTGGTGGTGGTTCTTAGCCTTGCATTACCCATAATGACGTCGCTAAAGGGTGGACGAGTACGGTACATCGACAAGATAAGCATGATTTCAGTCTTATCATGATTGAGTTTAAACTCGTTTCTACACACGAAGATTGAAATCAGTTGGGATCGTTGTCATATTTACCTAGGGTGAGAATCGAAAAGAGAGGATCTGAGAAACCCATTAATTTAACGGATCAATTATTTATTGAACGCTCCTTGACAATTTGCTAGAATTCAAGAAGGAGGACTGTGCCGTCTTGCTGCAATTAAGTTTCATATTGAAATCACTACAGTAGGAAACACGTTACTGAAGTGCAAAGTGCCATCAATCCTGTCACCTTACGTCCAAATAAGAAAAAGCAAACTAGAAAAGAGAAAAAAGAATATTGAAGCAGATCAGAAACAGCAAGTTGGAGATTGTGGCACCAAACGAGCTTGTAAGACTGACACTATAGTGGAACTGCAAAGTGTGTGCCTTTGTTTGTAACGAATACAGTTTAATATGAAGTTCAGCAAGTATAAAGAAATGTGTATCATTCTCCACTTCATTTGCTATGTACTCAGCGAGTTCAACAAATGCTCTTGATTTATTTAATTTCTCGTCTTCCTCGGCCTTCCAAGCTGCTCCACTTTTCTTCTTGCGTTCCTGTGACATGTATGCCTATTTCGCATGTCAGCCTTTTTAGTACATTTTCAAGGAGCGTTCTATAAATTAATGCTTGTACCGTTAAACCAGTGGGCTTCTCAAATCTTCTTTTGTTGATTCTTGGCAAATATAACAACGATCCCAGTTAATATCCATCCTGGCGTGTAGAAAACATCTCAGCTTCAGAAACCTTTAACTAACCAGTAAGTTAATTTTCACAATCGGCACAAAATATGAAGCGAAAATGTGGCTTTCGATAACAAATTTATCACCAAGAAGAGCTTAAAACTTCACTTAAACCTGTCGTGATTCAAATTTTGCACAATTTCCCCTAAAAAAACGGCAATTTATTCTAGCAGATACCTACAGTCCATGAAAAGACACCTTCAAGCCGCCATCTTAAAAGGCTATTTGAGACTTTGTACGCGTCTGAAAACATTTTCCTTGGATTTTCCATTTAGTTGACTTGTTTTTGTCATTGGTTTCAATAATAACACAATTTCTTTTTTTATTTTCTTGTCTTTCATGTGATTTTCATCAAAATAATGGCAAAAAAAGGAATTGATATCTTTAGCACAGGATACCCACCATGGTATATCATAATTGCTATATCATTAAGTAGACTTGTTTTAGTCATTGTTTTCAATAATAATGGTATTAATACAGTTTCTTTTTTAATCTACTTCCCTTTTTACGCGATTTTCATCAAAAAATGGAAAAAAACAAGTAATTGCAATTTTTAGCACAGGGAACCCATCATGGAAGGCTGTTGAAGCGAGCAGTTGCTGCAAATCCTGAAGAGGTAGCTGTGGGCACCGATCCTAATATTGACTAACATGCCCTAAGCTACAACCATGCAAAGTTTGGTGCTTTTGTCCGCTCTGTATAGATCTGAGCCTTTAGCCACCTGACTAACAGCTGCCCCCGTTCTGTATATTGTCGGTCAATAGTATTCTTGCTCGTTGTGTAGCTCTTTAAAATATACCGATTCATAATGAAGATTTTCACACATATTTCACACAATAGGTGAGATAAATACAGAAAACGCAAGGTTCCATGCACAGTTTCAGCTCGATTTACACAGCTTTGATCAAAGCATTCTCAGTTTCGAGAATAGTTTATTCTCAACCATAAGTAAAGATTTAATTAGAAGTTGAATTTTTCGCTATTTCTCTCTCACTTTTTACATTCAGTTCATTTTATTTGCCGGAAAGTAAGCCTTAGAAATTAAAAGGACGTTTGATCGATTCACGCTCGCGCATTCTAGTCTTATCTGAAACTTTATAACGGAAGGACATCTGTGAGCAGGGAATAAGTCAGCACAGAATTTGATTGTCGGCGAATTTCTGTATTCGTCCATCGTTCTGTTAGTGATAGGCTAGCCGTTGTTCACTCGTCTTTCTTGTTTGGGGTTGAGTCTTATTCCGGTCAAAGAGAGAGAAAGAGTGTCAGGCAAGGTTTCCAATATAAATCAAAGATTTGTGAACTCGTGTCTCAACTCTCCAAGTGTATATATATGCACAGTTAAGAGCACCGTATAACCTCATCTGCGCTTAACGAGTGTCTTTTGGTCCATAACTTTCAAAACAACTGCTCCACAGACTGTCGCTGCGTAATGCAAAAGAGTATCGAAGTATGACTGCCCAATAAATGTTACAAAATCTACCTGAGCGGTCCCTTCGGGATTTTCTGTCTTTACGTCATCCTAATCATTTCGTACTTGCGGGCGCAAAAAATAGAAACGTCATCATTACCTACCGATTCCTCGCGGCCCCTGTTCAAGCAAATCGAGATTTTTTCTATATTGACGGTATGACTGTATATTTCAACTGTAAGTACTTTCCTTAATACACGCGCGAGTTACTAGAGTGCCTCCTCGGAATTTCGCCTTCTGGGCGAAATCCCTGCTCGGGCAATAACGATAATGAAGTTCATGAAGAACAGTGAAGTCAGCACAAAGAGCAGCCTGGGTGGATAATTTGAAAATCCTGGCAGCGGCCTTTCAGGATTTACTATAAACATGAAGTGTTGTGAACAACCTCGCCTTGCCAAACAACCTCTCCAGTATTACCCGTTTTCGTTTACTCAGTTCAACTGGACGTTCAACGTTAATTATTAATATTTCAGCAGTTTACTAATCTCTAAATTCCTATTGAGCTGTCTTGTAAAATACTGAGTAATTTTTTTGTTTTTCTTTCGTTTTCTTTAATTTGGGGGAAGCGCACAAAGTCTAGAGAAAATCGGTGTCTTCAGGCGTCAGTTATTCAAGAGAAAGATAACACTATCACTAATACTTATCCGTTGGATAGTGCTTTATCCGGTGGATAGCTCTATCCCACTGGGGCCTGGTGTCTTCTTTGAGACGTTTATAAAACATCGACAAGGCAAATTATGTTACAGATCATGAATACGTCTTAAGTATTCTGTGTGAATTTTTTTTTTTCTCGGTTCATGCTCGCTCTAATCGGACAGTCGATCGGTTGAAAGTGAGTTAATGATTGCTTGTGTGAGGCAAAAAATTAGCTGAAAGAAATTCTTTTTCTTCGTTCATAAAAGAGTTATGCGATTCGAGGAAAATTCGCCATCTCACCGAGAAGGCCTTGTCAAATTACAAAAAAGGCCGATATCGCACTCATCGCGTTATTCCGGATTTCGCGTGAAATTTCACGTAGAATTTTCTAGTCATGAGGTGAATTCTCCTAAATATTAATTTCGAGGCCCAAATGAACATGCAGTCTAAAACTGGGAATTGTGTATTTTGTAACCTGTGATCAAGCTTCCTTTAAAAGCAATTTAGAGATATAGGGTGGCAAGACTGCAAGTTATGTACCGTGCACTTCTGTCAAAAATAGTGTTTTTGGTGTTTGTTTTTTGTTTGTTTGTTTGTTTTTATTTTTTTAGACATCGACGAATGTTCGTCAGGTCATCAGTGTGACAGCAGTGCGACTTGTTATAATACAGCTGGATCTTACACTTGCATCTGTATTAGCGGTTATACAGGGGATGGACAAACCTGTAGAGGTAAATTAAATACCTTTTTTTCCGACCCACTACACAGTCGTGATGAACTGTTAATGGGTGATTTCTTAAGCCGTTGCTAAACTTGATTCCACAGGAAAAAATCTTTTGATCAGTGTTTAAACTTCGCAGAGTAATTCATTGCATGAAACGGTAGACTGTTCTAGGGCGCTGTTAGTTTTTATTAGTATACAGCTGTTTCGAGAAAGGTTGTCGGAAAAAATGTGCACGCGACAATCCCGAAAGGTAACATGGGATATGATCAATACACTGTTCCTGACGATTGTAGCTGTCGAATTTATTTGTGGTGCTTTCCTTTAGCAGTCGCAAACATATGTCCATGGCCTCAAGTGCCATTCTTTCAAATTTCTTTGAAGAAAAGTGAACTCAAAACCACCCACAATACCTTTTGGGATTGTCGCGTGCACTTTTTCAGACAACCTTTCTCGAAATAGCTGTATACTAAAACAGTGGATAGTGTTTTTCGCTCGCTGTGATTGGCTACTCAATCAGTGAATATCCTGCACTATTCATTGATTCACCTCCAGCTTCTCCGGGTGAGCGACGCCAAACTCGCGTAAGTTTCGAACAAAATACCTTGCCCGGTTTGCTGCTGTAACGAACAAAGAAATTTCACAACTAATCAGGCAAGCTGTTCCCGAAATACACGAAGAAGGTGACGAAGTTCGGGGTTGAAGTTTTAACAGGTAAAGCTTTGTCATTTTGACTTGAGTTTATCGATAAAACCGGCGAAAAAGTTTTTTGTTTACAAATGCAAATTAAGCTTAAGTCTTGCGTTACTTTATTTAGTTGACTTGTTCATAAATAAGCTTAAAGCTAAATTTAATAATCTTTTTACAGATTGATTTTAAATACAAAAAGAATTCACAACTCCTTTTGAGGAAATTCCTAGGGTCTGCCGGATTATGCTCGAAAAATAGAGTATTATGCTTTCAGGCGTCACCCGTGAAACTAGGGTATTATGCTCAAAATTATGCTCGACTGGAGGTATTATGCTCAAATTATGCCGGATTAAAATGACACTTCCACCCCGGCCTGTATCTATTAATAAGCATTCCTAGTCTTTCATTTTGAAAGAATTGTTAGACAACAATTATTCAGTTAAACATTCGATGAGCAAGCGCAAGGTCGGAAATTGTGAGGCATTGAAAGGCTTACTATGGGCGCTTTCCATTTAGTTAAAATTTCCGGAATTTCCGGTTCGGCGGTAAATGGAACACGTTTCGTCGGTTCGTCCCACTGGAAAATTCCCAGAAAAAGTGGAAAATCTAAAAACGTGGTCCCGTTTTCCCGGTTGGAATTTCCGAACGGAATGTCGCGTTCCATTTACGTTTCTCGTAGTTTGTACCAGTTCCAGGTCCACGGTCGGGCACCGCCACGTACCGGTGTTTACGACCAAATGGAACAACTTTTACCGATCGGAAATTCCACTTTGCTACCACCGAAATTTCCGGGTTTTTTCCTAAATGGAAAGCGCCCTTTATGTGTTTCTCCAATGAACTTGGATTATAGCAAAATGCACTGGGTACGAGTCTAACGTATCAAGTTAAAATATTCCCACTTTGATCAACTTTGTACATTCTAGAGCGTCGCTGAGAGCGAGTTGCTGGCAAAATTTGCATACACCTCTCACAGTTTTCAGAAACAGAGGCATTATGCTCCAAAAATGTTAGTATTATGCCAGCATTATGCCTGATGCTCCAGATATAGTATTATGCTCAAAATTATGCCGGCATAATCCGGCAGACCCTAGAAATTTCCCCGCAAGAGCTCAACAATTGCCTTCAAAAGTTTTATTTGTCGGCAAGAAAAAGCGACGACCGCGGCCGTTCGGTCATTGCGCGCCAAAATTGTAATCGCTGCAGGCAACAGTAAATGAGTTAAAAATCATCATTTTTGTGCTCAATTATCTCACTATTTTAGTATATACTAAAACAATTATTCACCTCAGTGTCGGTGACTAGTGGTGGAAATTTACCTCGCCGCTAACGCGGCCTCGGTAAATGACCACCACTAGCCACCTCCACTTCGGTGAATAATTGTTATTTATCCCATTACGGTACCATTTTGTCACAGCTTTAGAAGACGAGGCCCCATTTAGAACTAGACATTATTTCTAGCTACCAAAAAAATGGCACCACTGGCTAAAAACGGATTGTCAAATTGACTCAAAGCAGGAGTATGCATCGAATTGGCAATATCCTGTTTTAGTATATTTTTATACTAAAACAGTGGATGGTGTTTTTCGCGCGCTCTGATTGGCCACTGAGCAAAACGGTTTCCCGGTTTGCTACCGTAACAAACAAAGAAATTTCGCAAATAATTTAACAAGCTGTTCCCGAAATGCACGAAAAAGGTTAAGAAATTCGGTTTTGAAGCTTTAACAGGTAATATTTTGTCTGTTTGACTTGAATTTATCGATGAAACCGGTGTAAAAGAGTATTTTCTTTACAAATGCAAATTACGTCTTGCGTTTAATACTTTAATTAGCTGACATGTTCATAAATAAGCTTTTAATAGTTTGTATAAACAAAAGGGTTTCAAATACAAAATAGCCTGCGTAGCAGGCGCTTGGAAGTAGTTGGCGAAAGAGAGAACGGGAACGCGGGAGGGAGACACGCGAGGGGCGAGGGAGCGCCTGCACGGAAGGCCCCCGAAAATCGTTTCAACTTGCATTCTGTGAGTGCGGATATTTCCAATTGGTCGAGAGGCTTCCAAGGGAAAAAAATACCGCGCGGGGCGAGAAAACTGTCAATCAATAGTACATGGACAACGCAGTGAAGATCTTATATTACACCACTAGCTCCTGAAACCACTGAAACCAGTAAATATACAATATACTACTTATACTAAGTAAACAATCGAAGGTCATGTCTCGGAGGTCACTTCAGTCTGGTTTAATGGGACTATGTGGCTGTAATCTCAAAGAAAAGTTAGAATGTTCAAACGGTATTCACGATGGAAAGAATTGACACCAGATACGCATTAGCAGAAGTGGCGAGAGACAAAATAGCGTTGCAATGAAGATCAGAGGAAGTATTCTTTACTAAGGAGAACTTGGCGGCTTGTGTTGTCAATGGAACGCATACAATCAAAACTTGGACGTGATTGATGAAATGAAACACTTACCAGGGACATTAATTTGAAAAAACGTTTCACTATAGTATTATTCGCTGTTCAGAGGCGACCTCTGAGGTCTGTTGTTTATGTCTCGTTACTGTAGTAGAAAACTTGTCGGTACAGTTTGTGTTCTAAAGTTTAGGTTCGCTTAGTAAGACGTGTCTCCTCCAAAAACGGCTGCCACTTACCGCAGAAAAAGCAATGGTCATTTTCCACGTACGCTGGGATCATTGGTGTCTGAGTAAGCTCAGAGAACAATATTTTTAGTTTTTTTTTAATACACAGCATGCATTCTTTAAAAGATACCCAGTTTTGACTTTGTTATTTCCTATTTATTGTGCCTGTGGTTAAAAACGATTTAAAGCTGTGTGTTAACCATCAGTTTATTGCTCCATCGCTCTATAATCAGATAACCCAGCTGATCTTTATAACAGATATATTTAGACCAAGGATAAAATGTACAACGCTTTTTTGCGGTACGCTTTGTTTGTGCGGGGTCAGTCGTTTTCTGTCAAAACTTTTGACAGATCACGCAACGGCTGCCAGGTAATTAGGTTGGGAGCGGGAAACGATTTTCGATGCCTTCCGGGCAGGCGCTCCCTCTCCCCTCGCATGTCTCCTTCTCTCGCGCAGGTTTTTTTCTTGTACCCACTAATTACAAGCGCCTGCTACGCAGGCTAGATACAAAAAGATCGAAAAAGACCTTACAACTCCTTTGAAGAAATTTCCCCAAAATAGCCAAACAAATGCCTTCAATAGTGTTATTTGTCGGTAAGAAAACGCGACGGCCGTTCGGTCATTTGACGCCAAAATCGTAGTCGTCTGCAGCAGTATAAAATGAGTTAAAAACAATCATTTTTGTGCTCAATTATCTCACTGTTTTAGTACATACTAAAACAGTTATTCACCTCTGTGTCGGTGGCTAGTGGTGAATAATTTTCATCTATCTAATTTCGACCTGTCACAGGGAGTAGGACTTCCTTATAGTTCTTGCACTTACAATCAGCCGGTTCGACTCTTCGTATTACGAACGTTTGTGTATTACGTGGTCTGTGGAATTTCATCTGTAAAAATGGTTCATACGGAACATGGTTATATTTCCTTGCAGATGTGGATGAGTGTTCGCTTAAAACTCACGACTGTGATTCAAATGCAATCTGCAACAATACAGGAGGGTCATTTACTTGCAAGTGCGACGGAAATGCGTTATACTATGGCGACGGGAAGACGTGCTCTCATCACCGTAAGCGGACAGTCACTTATTTTATTTTGAAATTGATAAACGCATTAATGTTAATTTTGTGGATTATTTGCAACGCTCTTCCGCTTCATTTTGTGACCTTAACAACGTTACTCTCAATGCTGACCAACGAAGTTGTTAGCATTCAACGGCGCTAACAAAAATCTACAGTAGTGATTGAGAGTGCTTACCCTGGGTGCCAGAGACTTTTCTAGTGCGGTTTCCGGTTTCTGTCAAGTCTTTATAGTGAATGTGTCGGCCCTCTGCCAACACAGAAAATTCCCACCGCACGCGAGAAAAACCTCTGGTACCCAGGGTAGAGAGTGCTTGAAGCTAACAAAACTCAAGTCGCACAAACTCCTGGGAACGAGGTTGCACGTCACACTGTCCGAAACGAAGATTCAGGGAAAGTGTATTGTTGGGAGATCCCCATGGTGGGGTGGGTTTTACGAAGAGTGTATATAAAAACACCTCTGAAGAAAACTTTTCTCAAAGCCATGTTGGATGCTGAACAGCTAGCTACTATCTTAGCTGAAATTGAGGCACAGCTGAACAGTCGTCCTCTACAGCGTAATTACTCCCGCAAAGATACTAATGGTTTTGGGAGCGTTGGTATGCCGAGTATCTGCAGTCTCTGACACCCCTCAAGAAATGGTGTACAGACACGCGGGCAGTAAGCCCTAAGTTTAAAGAAATCGTTCGAAACACCTATAATACACGAGCTCATTCACTCAGAGTGATATTTTACTTTTTGTTGTTTTGTATATTGATTTTTTCTTTCTTTTTTTTCTCTTTTCTTTGCTTGGGGGAGGGGAGCTGGTGTTGTCTAGCTGAGCAGTTATTGTGTACTTTCCCACTGTTTTATTACACTAAAGAATAATCTTTGGGTCTGTCTCTTTCTAGGCCTTGATGACTCTATCGTTTTAGCCAATGACGCTAGCATGATATCGCAGCTAAATTCCTGGCTTAGTCCCAAGTTACGCAGTTCATACAGTTACTGGAAACTGTGTTACAGAGCTTCCGTTGACGGTTGGAGATCACGGACCTTTCACAATCGTTGCGATAACAAAGGACCCACTGTTACCATTGTAAGGGTTGGGAGCTATATTTTCGGAGGTTACAACGACAAATCATGGCAAGGTAAGTTCCCAAATATGGTAAGCATGGCGCCATGATCGTCCTTTGTTCAGAATAATGTCTTAAGCCTAGGATGAGGAGGAAAGGTCTGTTTTATAACCCTCCTGTCTTTTGTATCATTGTATTTATTAATTGTTCCTTGATAAACTGATACTATTATGTTAGTAGCCTGTTCCAGGCGTTCAGATAGTAGAGCGGGCGAGAAAAATTCACGAAGAAAAAAAAACGAGGGGAGACTCGCTCTCGCCCCCATTCCCCCTCCATACACCATTTTACAGCTGTGGGCTTAGTATCCTAGACTTCGAATGAGTGCAAGACTGAGGTTGACCATGATAGATAGATAGTTGGATAGTTTATTAACAATACTTTGCTGCACAAAGGCTGAATTGCGTATTTACAAATTATGCAATTGATAAAATGTGTATATAAAACTAATAACCGTGAATAAAAAAGTGTGAAAAATGTGATAAAAAGTCTAAAAATCTACGTACAGGATCAAATAATAAAACTATTCCTAAAACGATCTGTCTTGCATTTAGGTACAATGAAGCGCCTGTTGCACCTTAGAGCATAACAATGTTGTGATACAAACCTCCTTTGTTTTGTTATGGAAATTATACTTAAAAAGTACTTGTTGAAAGAAAGCAGAAATGGTTGTATCAAAGCAAGGTCCACCCCAGCCTCGTTTCCATCCATAATTGTAAAATGGTCTATTGAACGCGACTGAGTTACACTGAATCTCTAATTGTTTGTGTTCTGTTTTTTGTCTCTTCAGGGTCTGCTGGTTATCAATATTCGACAAATACTTTCTTGTACTCACTAAAAAACTACAAGGGATATGGATACTTCAAACAGGACATAACCAACGGCTACTATGGCACCGCCACTTACAGCGATTATAGTTTGGGTCCAACCTTTGGTGGGGGCCATGATATGAAAATTGCGGACAATGCGGGAAGAAATACCAATTCTTACTTTTATTGTCACTCGTACCGCAGGCCTTATTGCGACTATAGCATTTGGGTTGGAACACGATACGGGAATAATTTCCGCCCAGATGAGATGGAAGTTTATTATGAAGTGCTTGCTTGAAACTGGGCAGCCACAAAAAACAAAGGAAACAAGAAAAACAACAACAGTAACAACAACAAACCAGCGAACAATAGACAAACAACAGCAATAAATAAATAATTAAGCAGAAGATTCTACAACAAAATGAGGTGATAAGGCACCAACAGCGATTAGCCATAGCACCACTGGTTTTGTCCCTATGATGGGCCATTTTTGTTGGTAGCTTAGTTCCATGGTAGGAATTTGCTAAAAGGGAGTGTTTTCCTTTGTTAGGACTTATCCCTGTAGGTGTTCTTCGGAATCTCGAAGGCGATTTTGTTTTAAACTGATCAAACGGAGAAATATTATTTGCGTTAATGGAAATCCTGTCCGAAATGACTAAACTCAGATAGGCACACGCAAATAGTTATTTATTTTTTTTAATTAAAATAGTATCAGTAACCTATAAACTAAATAGATAGCAATAAAGAGTTTGGGTTCCCTATAAAATATCCTTATTTTCTCTTACTGAGCACATATTAGTATTTTTCTCACTAAGCACAGATCAGTATGACACTCCCTACTCTCTAAGATATAATTCCTTTTGTTTGCAAGCTTGGCCACTTTATTATTCTACAAGATTGAAGCTATTCAGTAGTACTGTTTTATGTTATCATTGTTTTTTGTTTTCACTTTGTTTTTAAGTATAACCAATGATGTAAAGGGCAATGTCATTTATTCTTAATTTAAATGACTATAAACTGAATTGAATTGTCTTAGAGGAGTGAAAGAGTCTTCATTGGCATGGAAAGCCGAGTATGATGCAAATCCAACATTGCGGCAAACTAGAATGTTGTTTTAGCTGGTTTACGTTTATCATAGCTAAATCTACGCACTAGATTGAAGTCATTTCCAAGCACGCGTGGTTTTAATTGTTTTCACTCGTTATCCAGACTCATCCAGCGGAACAATATGGTGCGTGCTCATGGGCTAATAAGTACTTACAATTATTACTCAAACTAGTAATAACCAAGGGCTATAGAATGCGGGCGAGTTAAAGCTATCAGATCGAAGGTCAAAACTCTCTTACATTTTAAGTAGATCCAAAATATTGTCATGATACCAACACTTAAAAAGCAAAAGGAATTCTTTTTGGTAAAGCGGTGTTGTCTTTTCAGTGCTTTTGCCTTCATGTCCCTTATTCCTAGCACTTTAGAATAGAACCTGCAGTGAGCTGTCAAACATTTTGAGTTCTAAACTTCAGTTGTTTAACTATACGTCGCTGCGTTATTACTTCGTTTCCTGTAACCTAAATATTGTTCTTCAAGGAATATCTTTGATCATTGGATATCTATTTACATTGTATGTTTGCCATTCCCGGAACCGAGAAGCTCATCTACTTGAAGCAAAAACATCGCCGGTTAGCCACTAGATTACGAGCAATCTCCCCATTTACACCAGCGAGCGACGAAAGAGAGACTCACCAGGAGGGTTAAAGGGGGATCACGATCGATAAGCAGGGAAGCCACAAGGGTAAAGGCCGAAGGAGACAGCGAAATGAGGAGGAAGAAGAATGCCTTTAGCTAGAGAAAACCCGTGAAATTAAAAAAAGCAGCGAACTCGGATGGGTCAGCAGAAGCCACAAGGAACTTGAAGACCAAGAGAGGCAGTAACGATAATAGGCCATTTGCGAGTTCTCCGGGCCTCTGTTTCAAAACGAGGGTAGGTGATCAGCAATGCAAATAAAACTCATTTTCGCAAGAAAGATTGTGCACCTTGCCTCATTTTGAAAGTGAGGGTCTTTGGAACTCAGAAGTGGCGTATTGGAACACTTTCAAAACATAGCCAGAAATTCTAGACAGTCAGCGGCTTGACTTGCTGGCACGTAAATTTCGGTTTTCAATGTGGCGGACACCGGAAGAAGGGAAAGGCTCCTGACCATATCTTGAATTCCCTGCCGCACTGCAGATTTCATGAGAATATGAGAATAAAAGCATATGCTAACGATGTCTCTACTGAGCAAATTCTCCAAGGTTTCTGGGGCAGTGTGGTTGTCTGACATGGCATAAATTCCTATCCCTCCAAAATACCGCTGTTTTTTCGAATTTTGGCGTTTTCTAGAATATATGAAGCACCTACCGTTGTTATAGGAAATACCACTGACCGCTATGACCTCTTAAACACGTTGAAAGAAAATGGCGGCCTCAGTGAAATCACAACAAAACGCTCGAAGGAGCATTGTTGCGTTAGTAATGGCTGCATCTTCTCGTTTCTCGTATTCCTGGAAAATACCTCTTTCCACATTGAAAAGGCACCGTGGAAAACAACTGCTTTGTGAAGTTTATTGTCTTATCTTTCGGATATGCCGATGGGGAAGCGAATCGGTGCAACCGTTTCCTTGTAGCAGAAGTCACACTGCAGAAGTAAGGAACTATGAAGGTAGAGATATTGAGAGGAAGGTGTGGCTATTTTATGAGGTAAATTGTCACCGTCTAAAACAGGTTTTTCCCCGCATTGCTTACGACTGAAATACGGTTCGAACTTGACTTTATCTATTTTGATGATAGAGAATATAGTGCTGAGTTTCTCGCGTTAATGCCACAAAATGCGAAATATATATAGAAATTTTTCCCTCTTCTTCCTTTATACTTGGCAGCCCATTCTCGTTCCCAGAGACACTCGGCTTAATTTGTAATGAACCAGTGGCTCTGGATGCAAGGCAAATACGAATTTTTTCATTGGCTAAAGGGAATTGAATGCGCAGAGAAAATTAAAAGTATAATCTACTGCGCATAACATTTTACTTCCTGCCCTCTCGAACTGAAAACATGAAATCCGTGTCTGGTTTACGTCGATCGCGACAATCCTGTTTTGTTAGCAATTGAATGCAATGCAATATCAGCGAAGAAGAGAATTGAAGGTCATGTTTGAGAAGTTTTTACGAGAACCACGAACCTTGGCAAATAACGTTTGCCTTCGTTGTGGGCTAATTTTGCCTCTGTATTGACCATCGCATTTGGGGAACCTGAGTGGGGGAGTGAATGGTTAGCCCTTGCTAACATAGCTTGAAAGTTAAAAATTGAGCAATCTACACTTGTGTGGCATTATTAAATCTAATCAGTCTGTCTAATTCCTCTGGATATTCGTCAGTGCTACAGTAAGAGAGGAAATCAAGCTCAAGGACTACATTACAGAAATGATATGTCCGTGATAAGTTTATTACAATGTGCTTTTAATTTTATTGTTTTTTCTGCTGAACGTACATCTCCTTTCCTATACTAATAGGTCAGATAATTTTCTGTGTCAAGCCTTATTCGTTGGAGTACTGATGTCAGTGCACAAAGCCAGAACTGAATGGCTTATGAATCTTTTGGGCTGCATGCATAAGGCAATTTTTCAGATTTTTCTGCAAAGATGATAGGGCAAGTACTCTTTCCAATCTACATTTTCTTCCTCTGAATTAATGCTTTAATCATGCTCAGATAATTCTGGAGGCCCTCTGATAGTGTTTAGTTTAACAGTAAGAATTAGGCTGTGAAAGGAAAGGCTCTGTGGCCGACGTGTTACAAATATGTTGCTAGAACATATTCTCTCATCCTAACAGTCCGGTTGTTGCACAATTTTTCTTCATAAATAATTATGTTATATATTTGATCATTCAATAAGGGAGCACATTGTTCTCAACAATTTGGTGTTAAAAGTTTTAGAATACAAGAAAACTTTTAAGAAACTGTTTAAAATTAGGCATATAAATTATATGAAAACTGGTGTAGTGTAGATTTATTGACAATGTTATGGACAACTGAGGTGTTCATAAATAACATAAAAAATGACTAATAGCCTAGAGTAGTCTTTTTTGCATCATACTGCAGGTGGGGGTGTCTGTAAAACGCGGACCGGATACCTGCGGATGGCGGATGCGGATGGAAAAATGCGGATAGTAAAAGGCGGA